TCTTTTGTAATAGAAAAAGTGAGAAGAAATAAATGAATACGTATTATACATTTTTTTTCACTTGATAGTATTTTACTAAATAAATCATAAAATCGTTGAAAAAAATTCCTCTTTTATCGTATTTTCTTCATAAGACATAATTAAATGTTTATGCCTGTGTAGTTCTCTGATAATTATGTAATAAATGTCTGCTGCACTGACTGCAAACAAGAAAAGGCATCTTTACGGTAACGTGCTCAGTTGTTTGTTACTGGATAGTGGGTGTTTATTGCGCTCTGTTACACTCTTCTGTTAAAACAATCTTCTCAAAGTCTGTAAAAGTCATCAGGCTCCGCTCAGCTTTACATTGCAGAAGGATCTTATTCCAGACAGACGGACCGGGAGACATTCAGTCATAGATGGATAGTTGAGAAAGTTTGTGAACAAAGTTTTCTGCTTCAGCACGAGAAGAAAAGCTTTTATATATAAAAACTTGTGACCACCATGTGATCTGAGACCACATACCTCACACACACTGGTGGCTGTAACACATCCTCCTTTCGATGCGTTATTCTTCAATCCCTTGCTGCCCCATCATTCATGCACGGAGCATGGCCTTGCCTTGTTTGGTCTGGGCAGGGCGTCTGCTTTGGGCCGGTGAAGCCTCTGGTAGCAGGACGGAGCGTTGCTGAAAGTCGGTCTGCAGTGATGGACAGCAGCAGATCCAGCTGCACTTGTCACTGGCTGTCAAACCGGCTGTCTGGGCCTTGGAAACAAGAAGGGACAGGCGGGGAGGTGTGTGTGTGCGCCTGTGAATGTGTGCTCAGAGGTCAGAGGTTGCAGTAGGGAAGGGTGGGGGGCACTGATTGGGATGTCGTTGCTGCATGGATTGTGTATGTGTGAAGGAGAGAGCAAGAGAGGAGTGATGGGGGGGGGGGGGGGTGTTCAGTAAGCAACAGCTGAGCGGGAGCAGGTGTTACTGTACGTCTCCCAGGCCTCATGAATCTCCAACGAGACACACAATACAAGTCCGGTTTTATTTTCACTCCCCGCATTGATTTGTTTCACTTCTGTACACGGGGATTTGGTTTAAAGAAACAATCGATTGGTTACAGGTGAAAATGTCAGTGCTCTCCTCTTTAACCAGCTGTTTGTTTTTCTGTTATAGCCCCATTTTCATAACCGTTTCTATTTTTTTCTGTTTTTGATTTCTTCTGTTGTTGCAGGTAGCAGAGTGCAGAAGGTTGGAACAATGCCAGATTCACCTGCGGATGTAAAAACCCAGCCCAGGTCCACCCCACCTACCATGCCTCCTCCACCCCCGGCTGTCAGCCAAGCAACAAGTCGCAACGCCTCTTTCACCCCAGCCACCAGTAAATCAAGTAAGACTACTCAGTTTTGGGTTTTTAATCACTTTAACTTAATTTTAAAGGGTATTGATCACAAACTATTAAATCAAACATAAAAAGTTATCCTGAACTATATCAAATGGTGCAGTTTAACAGTTTACTTCAGTAGTTTTCCAAATATGCAGTTCTGAAATGTGGGTATGCACTCAATGTAAACAAATCCCTTTTATCTGCATACTTTATCCAACAAATGTGTGTGTAAACATGTACCAATACATCAGCATTACTCAACTTAACACACATTAATCATCAATATTGGACAAATATTACGTGAATTCACGTCATTGCGACAATCACCTTTAAACTGTGCACCATAGATTTATTTGCAAGCATCAAGAAAAGTACAATTTCTATGTCATGAATCATTTGGCTGTACCAGCAGAGTTCTTGCGCGTGCTGTGAGAGATATGTTTTCATGTCAGCAGGCAGTAAAACAGGCAGGTGTAAGAAAAAAACAGCCAGCTCTATCGTTAACCCATGTGTCGTTTCACACCAAGTGTTGAATTTAACAACAAAAGTTCGGCAACCTGGGATTTGCAACAGTGCAGATATTACAGAGCTGGCATGCATATCTAAGCATTAATTTAATAGCGACCATCTGGATTATAACGGAAACATTATACTTAAGTGAAGCTACCAGTAAGTGGAAGTTATGATAGCTTGTGTGTGCTTCGATCTAAATATTATTATGCAGGCTGTGGTTCTTTATTAGCATTGCCAGGATTTTATTTCACACTCACTTTGAATTCTGAGCAAGAGCCAAATGTTTCACAGCTATCTGCAACTCTCTATGTACTCTAATCGATAATAAACATCTCTTATGGACAGATTTGAATGAAACTTTCAGATAGTAGTCGTTGGATGCACGTGTACAGCTTTCAAAAGTTTGTTGTTGTTGTTGTGTTTTGCTCATCAAGACCGCATCAAATAAGTTTGTAAGCCACCATTACCACCTCAGGCTCTATCTACAGAAGAACCTGAAGTTAGGGATGCACGATATTATCGGCATGGTATCGGTATCGGCCGATATTAGCGTTAAAGCTAAATATCGGACATCGGCCATTCCATCAAAATAACTCGCCGATATAAAAGACGCTGTTTTTGTAAGGCAACCTAGTGACAAGGATGTCTGCAGCACCAGCACAATGTGATGACGTCGTGCGCACCTACTTGATCTGATGACGGTGGAGAGGAAGAAGTCAAAATGGTGGCAGTGTGGACGTTTTTTTGTTGTTGAGGATATTGTATTTGAAAAAATTTTTGGACTACCTTGAGCCTTGTTACATTGTCCCCAGTCAGAGATATTTTTCCAACGTAGCCTTACCCGAGTTACAAGCAGTCATTTCCAACGTCATTGAGAAGCTAATAGCCGATAGCACTTGGGTGAGTTTTACCACAGACATTTGTACAAGTGTTAGCCCCGTTAGCATGATTAGTCTTACAGCACAATGGATAGACAAAAACTTTTAACTTAAAAAGGCTGTCCTTCATGCACAAGAGTGCAGAATATCTCACACTGCAGCTAGGAACCTGGAACAAACCTCCACAAGTGAGACAGCATCACAGGTGACCAATGCTAATAAATAACATTCAACACTTTTCATTTAATATAAGTCAAAGTGCTATGCATATCATATGGCTTTTACTGAATATATGTCACCAGCTGTTACAGCTGTTACACAATTTTTGTAGCAAATGAGCCTAAATAAGAGGGCTATGTTCTGACAAAGGAAAGTATATTAAAAATATTGGTATTGGTATCGGTTATCGGCCAAATAAGTTTTAACATATCGGCACGTTGGCCAAAAATCCATTGTCCAATATCCTTACCTGAAGCTCCTTTTCTAAGCTCAATAGTCACTAAATGTGCCATGAAGGAGTAAAAATCATCCGTGTGTGTTTCTTCTTTGATCCTGTCAACAAATGCTCTGCTCACTTGTCAGGTGTGTGTTTCTGATGACATTTGTGTGTCTTTCGAAGTGAGTAACGTCCTTTCTGGTGGGACAAGTGTCTTGAACGAGTGGTGAGTTGTTTATCAGCGGGACAGGTGGCGGTTGGTAAAGGGGACATCAGGCGGGACGGCGTTGAAGTGTGCAGACTTCTTTTCTTCCCTATATAGCAATGACAGGCCGTGTTGTTTCACCTGTCGCGGCTGGCGGTCAGGAGCGCCACTCTCTCCTTGCAGCTCGCCCTAAAACCAGAACACAAGTGCTGGGATCACATGGGTTAGTCCATATGTGTTCAGGCCTTCAACCCGTGGATTAAAGCAACAAGCGTGCCTGAGAAGAACCACAGGAACTACACTAGTGGACAAGTAGACTGCGGCGTGGGCAAGATCCTGTTTCCAGATGGCTTTGTTGAACTAGATAAAGCAATCGAGGGACCACATATTGAAAATATATATCAGACAAATATTTTAGGAGACTTTGAGGCTTTTTCTTCCATTTCTGATTAATAGTTTTTAGCGTAGTTTGGTCAAAATGTTTAAATGTGAGCTCATGGCTATTTTTATCACCTGCCACCAAAAGGCAAATGTGGGCAATAATGTGTTTTTTTTTGTCTGTGCATGTATGACTATTTCCAAAATATTTCATGAACTGGACAAATTTCAATGAAACCAACAGAAAGTGATGATCAACTGTATATTTGCAACTGTTTAACCTTTGGAGTAAGATTGATTCAAGATGGCTGCCACAGTCAACTGAGCTTAAAAAACACAAACTGTCTAAAAGTCAGTCAGTTCTACTGATATTGTGCTAAAATTTTCTGTGTATGTAGCTGAAGGTCATTCATGAAACAAACTCCTTGTGCTAATCCATGTGCAGGATCTTTATTTAAATTGTTAACATTAAAGGTTGGAGTTAACGGCAAAATTTTTTTATAATAAGATGCTGTCTTTCACAACACAAACTCTGAATAACAACTATGTCACTTCTCAAGAAAAAAATGATTTATGTTTAAACCTCTGGCATGGAATAAGGAGGACAACATGCATTTCCTTAAGGAATATAGGTCTTTTTAGAAGCAGGCGTCCATTGTCTTGTTTTGTCAGTACAAACAATAATCTTACAAACCTAAGAGCTAAAGTTTTTGGCCTATTTTAGTCTAAAAGTTTCAGATTTTAATGACAAAAATTGGTATTTAAACTTGGTTTTTACTCATCACAAGATACTTGACTTAAATGTTGTTTTTTGTAGTGAATTTGTTTCCCATTTGAGGATACTAAAGTGCCTCTCTTGGCTCTCAGTTCATATTTCACTTATGTGTGAATTAGACTTTAAGCCTTTTTGTTGACTCGAGTACAAAAACAGTTGAAGTTCTGTTCCACAGTTGCTCACCAACTCATAAGACGTTTTAAAAGTAAAAAAATGATGCTTCAGCTGCATCAAATACCGCAAATGTTTGCTGTTATTGTAGGAAGATACAATCACTGATACAGATACTTCAGCATGTGACGTTCAATCATCGTTTGTTAATCCAGCTCACATGCAAATGCACACATATATACGTCTGCACAGTGATTGACAAGACAGATTGCAGAACAGCTTCATGGGAGAGGTCAAACTTGTGTGCGCGTGCACGCTCACGGGTATTTATGAGTTTGTTTGTGCCTGCATTAAGAAGAAAATGTGAGTGATTATGTATGTGTGTGAACGCTGAGACTATTCTGAACCTTAAAGCTGCAAATCTACTTTCAGCTGGTGGACATGTGCAGGACCAGATTTAGCAACACACCTGCTACTGGAATAAAACTAACATGGCCCACTGGACTATTTTTGGCATCTGTTTAATAAGTTCCCTCTTATAGTTGCATCCTGCTGAGTGAGTGAAGAGTGGGGTGGATCAGACTAATACAGGAGAAGATGGAAGGGCCGGAGCGGGTCAAATGGTAGCACTTGTGAGACAGCTGAAGTGGCTGCAAACGCTCGCAGCAGCGCCCAAAATGTTGCATCACTGCTGTCATTTTAAGCATAAACGCCATGCAAACGTGGTGTCAAATTTAAAGTAATTGGTGTTCATGTTATATTTAATTTGTCTTCTATCAGCAGGATATCATGACCTCATCACATTTCCAGATCTGTCAGCTTCCGAGCCAATTCACGCTGTGTCATATGCCTGTGTGTCTGCAGTGCTGAATGGGAGCAGTCACTCTCCTACATCACTAAACGGTGCTCCATCCACTCCCAATGGCTTCAGTAACGGGCCAGCAATGTCCTCCACCGCCTCGTTGTCCAACCAACAGCTCCCACCTGCATGTGGCGCCCGGCAGCTCTGCAAACTAAAGCGCTTCCTCACGACGCTGCAGCAGTTTGGAAACGACATTTCACCCGAGATCGGAGAGCGAGTGCGCAGCCTTGTGTTAGGCCTGGTGGTAAGCACTGGTTGTCGCCCATACAGGATTATTCTGCAGAATCATTGAACAGCAACAGTAACGTGAGCAGTTTAGTGCTTTTTTTTGTTTGATTTGAATTGTTTCGGATTATAATGATGGCTAATATGCTCAATGTTTAGCAGATTTAGATGTGAAACATCTTTTTGGGATATAAGGAAAATGTTGTAAATGTAATGTTGTCTGTTTTTGACAGAACTCCACTCTCACTATCGAAGAGTTTCACTCCAAACTTCATGAGGCCACAAACTTCCCCTTGAGACCTTTTGTCATTCCTTTCCTAAAGGTAAACGTTTGTTTTGCTGATGTTGTTCAAAATCATTTAAGATCCATGTCTTCTGATGTTAGGCCTAAAAGATTCTTAACTGTGGTTGTGTAGCATACTTACACTATGAGCAGTCAGTGTCTTACCTTCAGTAGATGGAAGGAATCTCACTTTTGAGAATCAACCAGAATTTCACAAGTAGGAGTCAAGCTCTCGGCTCCTCAGAGCAGGCGAATGAGAGGAGCAAACCTAAACTTAAAAAATGTCAGTACATGAAACAAGTTTCCACTTCATAATTTCAGAAATGTCTCTTCTTTGTCACTCTTTTCTCAACCAGAACAAGTGAAACACTTTCAAAATGACAGCAGGTGCCTGTAGCTAAACATGTAGCAATAACAAAAAATAGGGCTTACACACTAGTTGCTCATGGTGCACATACTTCTGATCTGAAGCATATGTCTTTATTTATAAGCCTACCTTGCAACCATACAGTGGCCGTGAGGTGTAAATGAAAAAACAAAATTACATTTGAAAAAACAGAATTAAGCCAAAGCGGAAGTGGCCAAAGTGGAAATGGCTGGAATTACATTTGGAATTACATTAAGCCAAAGCAGAAGCGGCCAAAGTGGAAGTGGCCAAAGCGGAAGTGGCCAAAGTGGACGTGGCCGGAATTATATTTGAAAAAAACTGAATCACATTTGAAAAAACAGAATTAAACCAAAGCAAAAGTGGCCAAAGTGGAAATGGCTGGAATTACATTTGAAATTACATTAAACCAACGCAGAAGTGGCCAAAGCGGAAGTAGCCAAAGTGGGAGTGGCCGGAATTACGTTTGAAAAAAATTTAATCACATTTGAAAACAACAAAATCGCATTTGAAAAAACAGAATTAAGCCAAAGCAGAAGTGGCCAAAGTGGAAATGGCTGGAATTACATTAAGCCAAAGCGGAAGTGGCCAAAGCGGAAGTGGCCAAAGCGGAAGTGGCCAAAGTGGAAGTGGCCAAAGTGGAAGGGGCCGGAATGGAATCACATTTGAAAAAAACAAAATTACATTTGAAAAAATGTAATAAATAAACATAATAAATAACAATACATTTTTAAAAAATAATAATACACTAAAACCAAACCCCACCACTTCCAATTTTGCTTAATGTAATTCCTTTTTTTTTTTTTCAAATGTAATTTTGTTTTTTCAAATGTAATTTTGTTTTTTCAAATGTAATTCCATTTATTCAAATGTGATTCTGGCCACTTCCACTTCGGCCACTTCCGCTTTGGCCACTTCCACTTCGGCGACTTCCCCTTTGGCCACTTCTGCTTCGGCCACTTCCACTTTGGCTTAAGGTAATTCTGTTTTTTCAAATGTTGTGTTTTTTCAAATATAATTCTGTTTTTTTCAAATGTTGTTCATTTACACCTCACGGCCACCGTACAACCATCATATTAAATACCGACAGTTGTAGGACGAGGGCAATATGTCTTTAGAAAGAGTTAAGTGCAACAGTGTGTGCGAATGTGTCGGACCTCCAGCGTGCGGTGATCCTTCACATGTGGGACATCGCAGCAAACGCTGCGTTACATCAAGCAGACAAGTTGAAGAGAGCTGTTTGACAGCAGAGTCACACACACACTCACACACAGACACAAAACACACAGCCCAAAGAGAGCGAAACACATGGTGGAGGAATGTGTCGAGGGTCCTGTCTGATCTCATCCTGCCTCCTCATCTATCACCCTCCTTCTCCCCCCTCAGTCTAATCTGGCTTTCTTTCACTCTCACCCCATCTGTCCATTGAACCACTGTAAGTTTTTAGTTTATTCGCCTGTTTGGGTACCTTGTTTCCTTAAGGTTGATATTGGTCCAATAAATCTATAATCCTTCCAGCAACAGCTTGTTTAATTCTTAATCGAAGATGTCTGTCTTTCTTCTTTTAACCACTGAAGGCAAACCTGCCACTGCTGCAGAGAGAACTGCTCCACTGTGCCAGATTGGCCAAACAGACTCCAGCTCAGTATCTGGCTCAACACGAGCAGCTGCTCCTGGACGCCAACGCCAGCTCGCCCCTCGACTCCTCCGAGATCATGCTGGAGATGAACGAGCACGGGAAGAGAAGGACTCCTGACAGGTAGCAGAAGAAAACACAGACTTTAGGAGTCCTTCTATGATGGCAGATTGAGATTTTTTATGAACGCCAAGTGTTGCTTGGCAGTGAGGTGAAGCTATAAATCGTCAGTGCAGAAGGCAGAGGTCTGAACAGTCCTGATGCCAGATTGACTCGGCCAGCTGTCTGAGAAGGTAGAGTGGGACAAAAATGCAATGTAAGAAAAGAAAACAGGACACTGAGCGGCAGTGTTGTGTGTAAAGGCATTCAAAACAGCGTGTTCATGAGGAGCATCATATTTTCGGGAACTTTACACTTAAAAAGATTGATTTATACCTAAAAAACCAGAGCATCGTTCAGTATGGTGACATTCAGTGCTGTTTTCTTCTAGAGCAGGGGTCTGCAACGTTCGGCTCTGGGGCCACATGTGGCTCTTTGGTCCCTCTGCGGCGGCTCTTTCAGGCTTTGACCAAAACTAAAATGAAACTAAATGTTATTTAAATTATTGCCAACAATGAAAATGGCTAGTTTTAGCAGATTTCCTGTCATTTTCAAATATGTGAAGAATATCATACCATACAATACCATTTCATTTATAGAGCATTTAAAACAAGGACAACCAAAGTGCTGTACAGCAGAAAACAAAACAAAGTAAAAACAGCATAAATAGTAAAGTACAAATACACAATATAAAACATCTGGACTAAATCATGCTAATAGTTTGTTAGCCACTTTAAGTCAACTTCCAGTCTCGCAGCGTGATCTTTCTCTCAATATCACCAGAATGTTTTGAAATATATTTATGACAAGAAGCTACTGAGAAGGAAAAGGTTGACTAACTTTGATAGCACTAAGAATAAAACACAAAAAACAAAGTCAAAGTAAATGAAAGTGTTTATTTTTCTTTGAAAAATGTAACTGAATATCCAACAAACTGGTGATTTTATACAGCCTTTAGCTTTATGCTCTAAGTAGGATATTTGATTCTTCAACAATTAAAATAACTCACATCGGCCTGCAGAGTTCAGTGTTTTAATATTTATAAAATTGTTAAAAAAAACTATATATTTTTTTCTTTCTTTACATTAATCTGGTCGTTTCTTTTGTATTAAAACTTAGAAAATATTGATAAATGTGAACAATAGTTTTACATTTTTTATTTTATATCACCCCATTGGCTGGAAAAGCCATTTCCAACAAAATTGCAGTGGCCCATGGGCCACCAGTTGATAGTGCACAGTTGTAGCGGGTTGTCCGGCTCCGGACATCGTAATTAGTAAGCAAAGTGACAAAAATAACTTATTTTATTGCAAAGTTGCAAACCCCTGTTCTAGAGTGAATGGCTTTCATGCAGTAGAAAATGGGGGAGGGGTTGCCTTGCGGTTAAGCTATCATACACCTGGATGCATAGGAGGCTTTTTGATCCACTTATTTTTTTAACCTAAAACCTGTCATCATTCTCAGCAACAAGACAAAATCAGACTATTTTTTTTTTTTATTTTGACGTGAACCTGATCGTTTTGGATTTATGAATTTGGTTCACACGTTTTAGGGGGGAAATACAAATTAATTTAGTTTCGTTGTTTGTGAGCTGAACTTTGAACTGGTTCCAGTGAGCCGATGAACTTGCACAACTTTCTTTTTGAGAGACACAATGGAGAAAGAAGTAAACTGATACTGTGACTAAAATAAGACAAAAAACAGCTGTTTTTTTAAATTATTCTCCCACCTATTCAGTCCCAATCGAAGAACATCCTTTTTCAGGCGTCCCCTCTGCCTCTCTCCGTCTGCCTGACCTGTTGCCCACCCCAGCAGCTGCCCATTTGTCAAGGATGTGTCCAGATGGTAATATCCGGAGCGGGGTGATGGGAGGTGGTGGTTTGGACAGGCTAGAGCATCCAGTTCAAACTGGCCGTGCAATCCCACTGTAATCTGCACACCTCCGCCTCCTGACGTCTGGCTTACACACAGCATGTAGAGCTCAGTGGAAAGGGAGGGAAGGAGCACAACCAACATTTTTCCAGCTGCTCCTCGCATTTGTAGGCTACGACAGATATAGCCATTAATAAACACATGAAAAATATTGAGCACACGCACACACAAACACACATCGCCCACGTGTGGCAGTATTTATTTGGTTTTGATCTCCGTGATGATAAAGAGTGATTTTCATCTGAATGCTTGGCTATTGCCGTCCAGCTAAACAGATTATTATCAACACTCCCGTTTAAACTTTCCAGATGGCTTGAAATCACAGCACGCACAGATACACGCTCGCCTAAAAACACACACAGACACAAATGAGTGTGACTAAACATCTGTCCAATATGCAGCCTTCATTGCCCCTAAAGCCTGGGGGTGGGGGGAGGACTTGCAATCTAAGAGCAGGCAGAGGGATATTCAGATTAAAAGCTTGAGATGTGGGGTGTACAGTTGGACTTGGTTTTGTTGGACACATATGGTATACAGCTGTGCAAGAGCTTTGGAAAAGCAGGGCCTTACTGTAACTGAACAACAAGCAGCTCTTATTCATGTGTGTGTGTTGTCATACACCATATGGGAGCTGTCGAACTTAAAAAAAACATGTTTGTGTTCCTTTCTTTAGCCTCTCAGACAGTAAGATCCACCCAGAGATGCAGTAATCTGTGACTCTCAGCCAGTGGTTTTGTTTTGCTTTGTTTTAAATCCGAGCAAAACATTTAATAAAATGTGGCTAAACCGCGAAGCAGAAAATAACTACTTCACAACCTCGTTTTTAAAGTTAACATCTGAAGAACATCTGTCCAAGCCCAGGAATAGACGTTGCTGCAGCTTCATCCGGCCCATGAGATAATACTGTGAAGAAGAACCTGTGAAAGCCTTCGTTGCTTCTGAGTTTGTTTAACAAAACTGAGCAGACTTTTCATGGCAACTTTAAAGTCAAGGCTGGAAATGGGCACCAGTGACCCACATGACCCAGAAAGGAAGAGCTGAGTAAAGTGGATGGATGGATGGATGGATGGATGGATGGATGGATGGATGGAAGGAAATAAAGTTTTAATATGTAGCCCATGTCTTTGGGAATAGCCATTTGTCTTTCTGTTTGTGTAATAAAACCATTAGATTGATTTATTAAAACTAGCATCTCTATCCCCAAAAGATTAATGCTTGAAGTCAACGTAATTCAAGATGGCCACCACAGCCGACTGAATTTAGAAAACACAATTACGGACATAATTCAGTCGGTGTTACTGAAACTGAGTTAAGAGTTGGTGTGGTAGTAGCTGAGAGTCATCCTCTGAGAAATGTACAATGGGCGAGCTCTGTGTTTAAAGCTTTAGCAATAAGTGTTTGAGTTTAGCAACACATCTCTTGAACCACCAGATAGATTTAATGAAAGTTAAAAAAGTTACAGCTGATCAACCTTAGCAAACACAAATGGCCATTGGTTTAATAGATTTTAAGCTCAAATTTGATGCGGCAGTAGCTGAGAGTCATTCCCAACACGTCAGTGGTGTGGTCTACGTTTTTGTAGTGGGTATACTGTGCTTAGAAACCAAAGTACACAGGTTAGTACAATGTAATCGTCAATTTATGCTGATTTTTAAGCATATTGAACATTTCCAAATCCCTCTGATGCTTATATTTGAATAAATGTACAACAAACATTTTGCAACAGTTGGTTTTGTATTCAAAACATGTTATAGAATTTAGAAAACAGTATCAAAGCGAAACATGTTCAAGTATTGAGTACATAATTATACAATAATTTGCTGGATAAGCAAATGTAATAAACAAGCGCTGCATACAGACAGATTGTTACAGAAGCATTTAACTGCTGTTTAATGTATCAATGGTATGCGCCTAATGATACTTCATGTATCATTGGGCACTTTTAAATGGTTATACTGAAATTCTTAGGTTTTCTAGTGGGTATTCTACGTATATCCGCAAATCGCGTAGACACAATACAATACAAATTTATTTATAAAGCACTTTAAAACAACACCGTTGGCCAAAGTGCTGTACACTAACACATACAAGCATAACAACTATGAACTCAACAAATACCATAAAAGTAATGAACTACCAAATCATAAAACAGCAAACGGTAACAACAATTAAACAACTAACATACCGTACCATTTTATTTATACAGCACTTAAAACAGCTGCAAGGCCAACCAAAGTGCTGTACAGACAAAACAACAGACAACACACAAAGCAATATACAAAATGAAGTAAATCAAAAATATAGACATAAAATCGATGCAGATAATAAATATGACGACAAACCAGTGTGGAGCGCACAGGTTCAAAACATTTCAAGCTGCGTTAAAAGCCAAAGAGAAAAAATGAGTCTTTAGTGCAGATTTAAAAACAGGAAGTGAGTCAGCTTTTCTGACGTGCAGAGGCAGCTCGTTCCACAGTTTAGGGACAGCGACTGAGAACGCTCGGTCACCTCTCAGGCTCCTGTTGGACTTTGGGACGGCCAACAGCAGCTGATCAGCTGACCTGAGAGCGTTCTGAACCAGCTGAAGTTGAGTCAGTAATGACTGGCTCAGACCCGCATAAAGTGAATTGCAATAGTCCAGACGAGTTGTGATGAAAGCATGAATTAAAATCTCAAAATGATGTTGAGACAGGAATGGTTTCACCTTGGCCAGTTGTCTCAGGTGATAAAAGCTGGACTTGACCACAGATTTAACACCACTGCAACACATACTCCAAACATTAACAGAACATGTGAGATCACACAAGATTGCATGAGACTGCGCCTAACATTGTGTTCAAGATTTAACCAGAACAACTAAAACGCACATATTTCGCAACATGAGATGATCTTATTTTAAGAGCCCGAACATAAAACATGACCGGAAATCTGGATCCCTTTAATGAATGTTAGGCTTCAAATGATTTCTAGAAATCATCTAAAAAATAAAAAAAAAATGTAATATGTAGAGCAAAAATCGCATGGAATTGAGACAATTTCTATTTATTTATTTAATTATTAACCTTTATTTAACCTGGCAAATCCCACTGAGATCACAGATCTCTTTTGCAAGGGAGGCCTGCGCCTTAAGACAGCCTAACATGCATGTTTTTGATCTGTGGGCGGAAACCGGAGTACCCGGAGAAAACCCACGCAAACACGGGAAGAGCATGCAAACTCCACACAGAAAGACCCCAGGTGCCACCGGGAATTGAACCCAGGACCTTCCTGCTGTGAGGCAACAGTGCTAACCGCTGAGCGGTCGTGCTGCCAATAATTGCCACAGTGAGACACCAGAAGAAAATGTCTGGAAAGATAATGAGTGCAGGACAGTTGTTACCTGATCGTTCTTTAAACCCGGAGAGTTATAAATAATAAAAACGGGCAATTTGAACTGATCAGAATGTGATCGTTTTACTTTACTGCAGCGTATAGTAAAGCCACTAAACTTTATTTTCCCTTGGAAAGACGGTGTTGGAAATACCCGGCCATTAAAATGGAATATGTAATGCTCTTCCCTGGCAAAACACTCCCACAGTTTTCACGGTGGTGTTCTGTGGAGGTCAGTGAAGAAAAAGATGTATAAAGTCCAGAAGCCTCCTGGTTTCTCTGTATTAACTCCAGCATACATTTCTTGGAAGCATCTGTGTGTCATGCTTTCATTCACGTGCATCGTCCCCCTTTTTAGGACCAAAGACAGCGTGGAGAGGGATGGGTTGCACCCGGAGCACCTGGCCAAAAGACCCTGCACCATCAGCCCCAGCCAACGCTTCAGCCCCAGCACTGGTCTGCCCTCTCACCCACCTCCCAACGGCCTCCCCACACACCCTCCCAACGGCCTGCCTCACCCGCCTAACCCCCAAATGGGACCTCAGCACTATCGCTTAGAAGACATGGCGCTGGCACACCAGTACAGAGACGCATTCAGACACAGTGAACACCGGGACACCAGAGACAGGCACCGGCAGACAGGTAGGACTTGATAAATCTATGGATCTACGGTCACACGGTTTAGTTACATGGACCAGAAAGGAGCTTCAGTCAATAGAAACAGAGTGTTCAGAACAAAGACCAGTTGTCAGTCAAGTGTGATAATCCTTGTGGTCTAAATAAAGACCACATGCATACATACCCATATGACCAACTGTGGAAGCCATATTATATATGGCTTCCATCTGCTTTTCTACAAGGAAGCAGCTGAGATTCAACAGAAAGCTGAAGTCTTTAGTTTTTTTCATGGTTAAATACAAACATCATAAATTTTTAAATGGCTTGAGCTAGATCATGTTATGTTAATTCTCTCGTAAAATTAACTGGTTTTATTCTCACTAGTTCAAAAGTATTAGAAATGTATTTGGTGAGGTCGTATCATTGGAGGAGAGGTGCAAGCCTCGTGGAAAGAGGGTGAAAAGCTAGTTGGGGCATTTTTGAGTGGAGTTTGGATGTTCTCAAATGTAGAAGTACTATATCTATATCTATATATATATCTATATCTATATCTATATATATA